AGGTCCGTCGTGTGTGTGTATGTGTGTGTGTGTGTGTGTGTGTGTGTGTGTGTGGAGATAGCAAGTGTTGAGTGTAAAATACTGAATCTTTATAGAAGTGAAGCAATTGAAAAGGGAATATTTCTCACCATTCAGTAATGTTAATTAATTCTCTGTATCCACATTATCTAAAATCATGCTGAGGACCCTAAAAGCTGCACTGGTTTAGGGTACCAGTGTCATTCTCTATTATTTGTAAAAAAATTCAAGATAAAAATAACATATTGAGTTATTGTTATTATTATTATTATTATTATTATTATTAGCCAAATAATTGTGTTAAGCATATTCACACAGTATCACATTTAATTCTTACAACAGACCTATAAGGGAGAGACTAGCCTAGGGTGTCCACATATGGTTGTACAGGATGCTCACTGAACAAGGGCACCCAGCTGAGGAACTAAGAGAGTCTGAAGTCCCGTCCTGTGCTCATCAAGTTGTGTACCTGGGCTCAGGGCTGCACTGGAGGAAAAGCATTTTTCTCTAATTTGCACCAAGTTGGCGTATAACCTAGTCTTTATCTTAGAGAAGGGGAAAATGCAGCTTTGATTGCTTGGCAAAACCCACACTGTACCATTATCTGATATTGTTAACCATGATTCCTCTAGGAGGGAGATCAGGGTCTTTTGGGGACTTGGGGAGGTCGTGCTGGGAGTTTGGGAGGGGGATACTGGAAGGCTAGTCCCTGGTTTGACTGAAGGAAAGGGGCAGCCAGGCTGCTGGGCTTTCCCTTCCCCTTAATCCTCACACTTCATGCAAATATTTGGAGAGGATTTGGGTTAAAATATAGCCAGTCAAGGACCCATTATCCCTTCTAGTGGCCAGGTTGGGGCAGGGGGTGGTGTTCTGCTTTGCTTGTCTTAACTATGAATGTTTGGACCTGTCCCTTGCCTTTTTTGGGGGGTGGGGTTCAGTTTACCTGCATGAGTTTATAGACCAGAGTTTTGCTTTGTTACCATCCACATTGTTTGGAAATTTCAGATTCTTAATGGCAAACAGGAATTGTGTTGCACCAGAGGTTGCAAATCAAGAGTCACCTCAGATCATAGGCATTTGGAGTGGTGGGCAGTTTGGTCTCCATAGCTTTTTTTAAAAAAAAAAAAAAACTGATTTGCTTGCCAACATTTGCTAATTAGGTGATTTTATTTAAAAATCTGGACCTCAGAGTTGGTTTGAAAAACTGGAAGGTGAAGACATACAAAACCCTTCTTTAGGAGCACAATCACCTAGAGATCATGGCACGTACCCATTTACCTGGACACACCCCAGTTTACTCCTGTCCCCACAGGGCCCACTCCTCTCAGTTACCTGCAGGCAGCTGAGTGGCAGAGTGGCTTTGCATCCTCCGTTGTGAGAAAGGGGCGCCCTTGCAGTGGACACCGCTCCTCCAATGTGAAGAAAATGCCACAGAGAGTGACCTGGACAGGTATGGTGAGTGCCTCTTCTTTCCTTATCTCTCTGCCACTCTCCTGGTTAGCTGGGTAGCTGCTGTTCTAGCTAACCAGGTTGAGGGCAGGTTTCCAGGAGTCAAAGGAATGAAGAGGTCTGAGAGGTTGTCGAGGAGCCCCAGCTGGCCAATTCTGAAGCTTCTGGGAAGAAAATAAAAAGGTTGGTCCCTAAACAGCCATTAGTAGGAAGCCCCTGCTTTCTTGATTTCCCCTCCTTAGCATCACCATTCTTGATTTCCATGTACTATCTTTAAAATGTCAAAGCAGAAAGTGCTTCTTCATTTCTTTCCTTCCTTTCTCCCTTTCTCTTTGCAACAGATATTTATTCAGTGCCTTGCATGTGCTAGGAACTGTGATAAGTTCTGGAAAGGATAAGCTGGAGGGACGAGGGCCCTATTCTCATGGAGTTTACATTTTAGTGGGGCAATCAGATCCTAAAAAGGAAAATAAACAGGACAAATTAAGATGTGTTAAGTTCTACAAAACAACACAGACAAAAATACAGGGTGTGTCCAGTTAGATAATCTCTTCCTCAGATTCATGTCTCTGCCCGAACCTCAGAATATGACCTTATTTGGAACTAGGGCCATCGCAGATGTAATTAATTAAGACGAAACTGATATTGGAGCTTCACCTCCTACTGGAGTAGGGTGGGCTCTTAATCCAGTCAGACAAGTGTCCATAAAAGAAGAGGAGAAAAAAGACACAGAGGGGAAGAAGGGGAAATGAAGATGGAGGCAGAGATTGGAGTGATTCATGTGTAAGCCAAGGAATGCCGAAGATTGCTGACAATCACCAGAAACTAGAAAGAGGCAGGAAAGAATTCTCCCCTAGGGGCTTTGGTGAGAGCATAGCCCTGTCAACACCTTAATTTCAGACATCTAGTCTTCAGAACCATGGGAGAATAAATTTCTGGTGTTTTAAGCCATCTCATTTGTGGTAATTTGTTACGGCAGTCCTAGGAAACCAATACATAGCGGGATGTGATGGGGGTAAGAGAGCTGTTACTTTAGATAGCACAATCGCACATTTGTGAGGAGGTGATGTGTTAGCTGAGATGGAGCTCGTTATGAAAAGTCTGGGGGAAGTGTATTTTAAAGCTGTTCTGTCCAGTACAGTAGCCACTAGCCACATGTGGCTATAGACCACTTGAAATGCAGCTGGTCCAAACTGAGATAAGCGGAAAGTGTAAAATACCCACCAGATTTCAAAGACTTAGTATAAAAAGAAAAGAATGTAAAATAGCTCATTCTTTTTTAAAAATATCAATTGCACATTGAAATGGTAATATTTTGGGTATATCGTGTTAAAGAAAGAATAATATTAAAATTAATTTCACCTGCTTCTTTTTTACCTTTCCAAGTGGGCACTAGAAAGTGTAAAATTATATTTGTGGCGCATATGATATTTCTATTGCATGGTGTTGCTCTAAACAGAAGGAACAGCATGTGCAAAGGGCCTGTGACAGGGAAAGAGCTTCATGTGTTCAATAATTCTGTACTCAGCCTGTATATTGATATTTATCTGGGGATGTTGCTAAACCTGATCTGAGAAGTCCTGATGAACTTACAAAAAGTAAATATATGAGTCTTTGTCCCTTCTTGTCAGTGAAAAGAGACATCATACAATTCAGCCCTTTAGCCTGATGCCTCCTTTTTCTCTTTGCAACCCGCTTACCCCCCAAATCTGCCCATCCTTTCTGCTTGATACATCCATCTCACTCTCTCCCTATGCTTATTAGCCTGAAGGACCTGGAAGGAGGCCTAGTTCCTTAAGCCTTGTCTGCTCATGGCTGGCACCAAGGCCATGGTATGATGGTACAGAGCAGAGACCACCCTCCCCAACCCACAGCTTGCAAAATGAGCTTCAAAGATCATGTTAATACATTTATTAAGCTAGAATTTTGTTTTTCTGAGATAGAGACCTCCAAATGGTATCCTAAGACTAATGCCTGCTTGTTTTAGTCATCTTGCAGAGTTTTGAAATTCTTTTTGGGTTTGATTGTTTCATCAGTCAGGTTAGGCTGGGCTTTGCTGCAGTGAAAAATAAGCCTCAAAACTTAACGGCTGATGGTCATGTGCTCTACCTGCTATTGGCTATGGCTCTAATCTATGTCATCTTCACTCCAGGACCCAGTGTGACAGAGCAACTTCCATCTGGAGTGTTGTTGCTTGTCATGACAGAGGTCAGGAGAGCACAGTGAATTGCATACTCGTTCTTGAAGCTCCTGCTTGGCAGTGACACATGTTACTTCTGCTCATATTAATTGGCCAGAGCCATCATGTGGCCAAGCTTGCATTCAGCAGGACAAGGATGCGTATGCCCCTTGTGGGGAGCACCACGCCGAGGGATCCCTCTTGGGTAGTGCTTAAAATCCTTTCAGCCTTATCCTATTCCAGGCTCTGCTTTGACAATCTTGAGCAGGTCCAGCCTGACAGCCCCCACTAAGGACCTCTTGCTTCTCTGATGGCCCTGGGATGCCAGCAGGAACCCATCAGCACCCACATTCATGCCACCTGAAAGTGCAGGGGAATTAACACCTTT